ATTATATACTGGACCACACCTCTATGGGTGGGAGGTGGGGTTTCCCCTTGAAGAGAATGGCTATTTTCCCCATCAGTCATCCTGGGAAAGGGTCAGTTCTGGGTCAGGAAACAAGGGCTTGGACAAGCAGTCCTAAGGCTGAAGTCAGAGAATAATTTTTCTTCTCTCCCTGCATTCAGAATTTTGGTTTGATCAGGACTCTGTGGCAGGGAGCTGCCTGGAGAAGTTCCAGTAATAGAGGTGGAGCCATCCCAGGCCACAGGAGGGACAGACCAAGAGAGTTCCGAGAGCATCTCAGGGAGGTTCTAGGATATTCTAGTATCTCCTCATCAAGTTCTGTTTTGCTGAAGGTTACCCTTTGGACTTTACTGAACTACATCCCACCCATGACTTGGATGAGCAAGAGGTGTGGCCCTGTCCCAAATGACAGAAACAGTGATGCAGCAGTCACCATCAGGACCCAGCTGTGCTGCATGAGGCAGGGATCTCTGGAGGGTCCTCAGAGATGATAAATGGTAGCTACTACTACCAGCTGGAACTACCTTCCAGATCACCCAGCACCTAGGCCTGCACGTGACATAAGATTCACCTGAAGATCTCGTTAAATAGCCAGTTCTGACCCAGTGGGTCTAGATTGGGGTCTAAGAGTCTGCAGTTCTAGCAAGATCCCAGGTGATACTAATGCTGCTTGCTGGTCCTCACACCACACCTGTAACAAAGGTCTAGCCCCGAGGTTCAAGTCTAAGAAGGAGCTCCATCGGCCAGCAGAGAGGACAACCCAGACGGGCAGTAAGACACAAGTGAGCATGCCCAAGCATGCCCTGGATTCATATCCAGGGAGGACGACCCCAGGGGAAGACAAGCTAAGGTCCTTATTGATTAGGGAGATATTAATTCTAACTTGCTGTACTTTGTAGAACAAAGGGTGAGGCGTTTGCAACCCCAAGCTGGCAAACAGTGGCCCTACCTACACTTAAATATCCAACCATCTCAGAATCAGAAGAGTGAACACAAAATGATTTTTTTTTTTAGTTCAGTGGCGTGATCTCGGCTCACTGCAACCTCTGTCTCCCGGGTTCAAGCAAGTCTCCTGCCTCAGTCTCCTGAGTAGCCGAGATTACAGGCAGGCGTCACCACGTCTGGCTAATTTTTGTATTTTTAGTAGAAGCGAAGTTTCACCATGTTGGCCAGGCTGGTCTCAAACTCCTGACCTCATGATCCGCCTGCCTCGGCCTCCCAAAGTGCTGGGATTACAGGCATGAGCCACCGTGCCCGGCTGATCATCTATTTTAATGCTTTATAGCTACATCATAGTAAAGTTAAAAAGCACTGAGAACATGAGCAAAGAGTAGTCAGGATGGAAGACTTAGAGGCTTGCTGCTATGTAGACAGCTTTTGAACTTTAGAACCCACTAGCTTCCTGCCCCACTATTTTGTTACCGGTGGCAAATTCACTTCCATACGGGGTCTGCAGCAACCCCAATTCTTACCCCCTCAGAAGAAAGAATTCGACTGAAGAGCATAAGGCAGAAGGAGAGACTGAGGGAAGTTTTAGAGCAGGCGTGAAAGTTTATCAAAAAGCCTTAGCGCAAGAATGAAAGGAAAAGAAAGTACACTCCGAAGAGGGAGGGCCGAGTGGGCAACTTGAGAGATCAAGTGCGCAGTGTGACCTGTTGACGTGGCGGTTTTATACGTTGGATACTTCCAGGGTCTCGCGTTACTTAGTCCTGATTCTTCCCTTGGGGTAAGTTGTCCACGTGCATGTGCTTGAGCCCACTCACCTGACTCCTGAGATCTTCTCAGGAAGTTGCTAACCACCAGTGTCAGGTGTTTTCTATCTATTAGGAGCGCGCCTTTCCCTGGCGCCAGCTGTGACCAATTATTATTATAGAGAGACAGTTAACAACCACCTGACCGTCACCTGATGGTCGCCTGACAGTCCTGATGTGAGGAGTGGCAGAGCCCTCTCCGGCCTTGCTCATGCCTGACCAGCCACCACTGTGACACTTTAATTCAAAAAATAATCACTCAACACCTACTCTGTCCCAGTCATTGATGAACCAAACAGCAAGGTATCTGGTCTTGTGGAGCTTCCATTCTGATGGAGGAGACAATGACTAAGTAAAAACTATATGAGATAACTATGAAGGAAATAAAGAAGGTGATTTGTGATAGAGAACAAGTGTGGGCAATTCTCTAGCAAGTGATACTCAAAGTGAGACCTGAAGGATGAGAACAAACGTTTTAAAGGCAGAAGATGCAGCAAGAATAAAAGGCCTGAGCCAGGGGAGCCTGTGATATGCTTGAGGAAGAGAAAAGAGGCCTAGTAGTTGAAGAAGTAGCAGCCAGAACAAGGACGGCCTGGAGTCTTTTTTTTTTTTTTTTTTTTTTTGAGACGGAGTCTCGCTCTGTCACCCAGGCTGCAGTGCAGTGGCCAGATCTCAGCTCACTGCAAGCTCCGCCTCCCGGGTTCCCGCCATTCTCCGGCCTCAGCCTCCCGGCCTGGAGTCTTTTGAGTTGTGCACAGAAGAGATAATGACAGGGTGGACCAGGGTTTGGCAAACTGTAAAGTACCAGATAAAAAATATTTTAGGCTTTGCAGGCCAATAGGCAAAATCAAGGATGTTATGTAGGTACTTCTACAACAGAGAAGAAGAACTCCACAAATTTTTTACTGATGAAATTCAAAACATTATAATTGGGAATAATTGTTTGTAATACAGGTCTACTAATGAGAAGAATGGAATTCTCTTGGGGAGGGGTAACATTTTACTTAATTGGGGTTCGAAATTAGTGTTCCTTATCGAAATTGGTTGAAATGTTGGTGTTCATCTCTTACTGTTGATCTGTAATGAGATTTTATATACTTCATCTTTGAAAATATATTTCACAAAGATATTAACGAACACCGGTATCTCCCACAAGCACATGATTTTCATTGAGCATACTCACCACTCAGAAGGAATTTATGGAATTCTACTAGATTCTTCTCTTGATATTTGCCTTTTGGCATATCCTTGCATTTCAGATTAATTGAAGGTTAGGTGGCAGTTCCTCAACTGCCCACTAAATGGATTTCAAAATGTGAAATGTGCACTGCAATGAGGTCCTGAAACACTGTTGGAACTGCAGTTTGAGCTCAGAAAATATATCTGCCACAAATTTGTGTGAAAATAGAGATCCTGCTTCTTATTTTAACTTTTGACAGCATGGAAAATGTATTTGATCTTGCCATTACTTATTGAAACAACATTAGTTGTCATCAAAATGACTTTTCCGCGTATAAATTTCACATAGAAGCACTGTCTTATAATGTAATTTTAGACTAAATCCATTAAGAAACATTATCATATCTGCAACAAGGTTTTTGAAGCCATTCAACATTCAATAATGTGATTCAGGACAAGTATTCTTGTTCAGGAAAATTTCAATTGCAGTTTGAAAAATTGCAATAAAACTATACTATTGCTAAGCCATCAAACTGTGGTGTGGTAGGGCAAGTCAGGGTATTCAGCATCTATTTCTGACAAAAATTCCTGGAACTAATATCTAGGGTGGTGCCCCAAAGCACTCCAATATGTAGTCATCAGGTAGAGAAGGAAAGAAGATAGAGAAGTAGAAACCAGCAAAAGATACTCAAGGGGAACAGCCTTAAGTAGGAAGGAAACCAGAGGAAAGAAGAGTGTTAAAAGGAAGTTAAAAGTTGCCAAAAGGTCAGGTAAGCTGACAAAAAAAAAAATCACTGGTTTGGAGGTGATTGGTAATGACCTTGCAAATGCAGTTTCCATCCTGTAGTAGGAAAGAAACGAAATTGAAGTTCCAACAAAAGTGGAAAACAGGACAGAAATCTCATCTAAGATGTTTTTCTGTGAAGTGGGGACAGAGAAATGCAGCCACAGATAGAGGAAGTTATGGTAGCAAAGAAGAAAGGTTTTTGTTTAGTTTTGGTCTTTTTTTTTTTTTTTAATCTCCATCCTTTAACAAGAAATCACAAAGCCTCATACACATACCGGTCTACTGAAAATGTGAAAGTGACCACAATAAGGCTCAATGGCCAGGCATCCATGAAGTGTGAGGTATTCCACATACACGGCTTTGGCAGACAACTAGTTTACCCTACTACGCATTAAATATTTTAGTTTTTATGCATTTTTTTTGTAAGTCTTGCCAAAATATACTAACTGATTCTCTACTTTCTGAATCATATTATGGACAGCAATTATATTCTGGACTACATAGTACAGCGATGTCCTCTCAGGGAGTATCAAAGTGGGTTTGAATATGTGCTACCTCACAAGATGATCCCAGAAGACTAGAGATTTTGAATTAGCTTCTCCCTCTCTTTAAGATTATCAGCTGTTCCTCACAGTCACAGATGTGCGAGTTTACCTGGCCCAGTGGATCTCAATGTGGCTGCCGAGTAGAATTGCCCGCTGGGGGTCAGGGAGAGGTTTTTAAAAATACCAGTGCCAGCCCGGGTGCGGTGGCTCACATCTGTAATCCCAACACTTTGGGAGGCCGAGGCAAGTGGATTAGGAGGTCAAGAGATCAAGACCATCCTGGTTAATACGGTGAAACCCCGTCTCTACTAAAAATACAAAAAAAGTAGCCGGGCATGGTGGTGGGCGCCTGTAGTCTCAGCTACTCAGGAATCTGGGGCAGAGAATGGCATGAACCAGGGAGACGGAGCTTGCAGTGAGCAGAGATAGCACCACTGCACTCAAGCCTGGGCAACAGAGCGAGACTCCGTCTCAAAAAAAAAAAAAAAAAAAGGCAGTGCCAAGATACCAAAGATTCTGACTCAATCCATGTGAGGTGTGGCCTGAGCATTAGAGGTTTTTGGTTTTTTTCTTTTCTTTAGTTTTGGCAGGTGGTTCTAATATGCAACAAGGGTTGAAAATCATTGATAGGACTCTAACTTTGTCTTCTAAGATGAGGAAACAGATCCAGAGGTTGTATAAAATAGGAGCACATAACTTCCAGTAGTCAGTGTACCACACCTCTTTGAAAGATCCTTGTCCCCAACTTGAATATAAGCCAGGAGATTACTTCATTCACTGGAACATTCGTTGAGCTCTTACTATGTGCTAGAATCCAGTCAAAGCACCTAGAGACAAAGATAAATAACACAGCGGGTTAGTGGTGAGTAGTTCAGAATCTATGGGGTTAAAACCGCAAAAATAAAATTATAGTTAAATGTAGCATAACAATCATTTATACCATGGAGTACAGACTAGGGAATGACTGAAGACTGTCTAAAATCAAAGAAAGTAGTTCTGGGCAGGAGCCTGAATAAAGAGCATGAGCTTTAGTGGCAACACAATTCCTACCGAAACCACAGAACCATGATAGGCCAGTAAACAGCCTGTAAAGCACCACTGCAACCAGCTGACCCTAAACTAGATTTGCCTACATCAATCCCTTTTTCTTGTGAAATGTTGTGGGTTTAGCTTTTTATAATGATAAGCCCTGACTTTGCCTTTGTTCAAGGAGTTCGCCTCCACAGAAGCTATTCTTCCTTGTCTATACCATCAAATCCTTAGTGCTTTAAATACTCATCTCTGAGTTGTTATTTAACCTATCTACTTTATATTCTTACGTGTTTCTCATTTCAAAGACTTCACCTGTGTTCAAGTGAAGGACACTTAAGGAGCATTTTTAATTTCTGGATAAGACAGCTATAGCTATGGAAAGAGAGCTTAACTTGAAATGTAAAGTGCACTTAATGTATACCAGAAATGTCCTAGGTGCTTTGCATGAGATTTACTTATCCCTTAAGGAACTCTATGAGCTAGGTACTATTAATATCATACCCATTTTGCAGAAGAGAAAACTGAGACAAGCAAGATTAAGCAACTTGTGCAGAGTCTCTTGATTGGTCAGGCTTTGAACCCAGGCATCTGATTCCAGAGCACACATGCTCTGTACTACTCTACACTGATTGCTGACAAGAAATGTGCAGTTCCTACCAAAAGGCAGAAAAGAAGCTTAATTGAGGGACATAAAAGAGGACCAATTACATTGAAAAACATACTATATTCCTGGAAGGACATGCTGAATACTCAATGTCAATGCTGCTTCCTCTACCAGATTAATTTGTAAATTGAACGAAAATCTGACTAAGATCTCAGAGACTTTTCCAGAACCAAGCAAACATTATTCTCTTAGATATAAAAGTCAACCCAATGAAAAAATATTCAAGGTGAAGAATAATGAAAGACAATCAGCTCTATGAAATAATGGATTGTACTATAAAGATACCATAATTAAGAAAGAATGATAGCAGTAGAATAGCAGCTATATCAAGGGAAGAAGACACCCAGAAATAGAGCCAAGTAGGTATGTGACATATGATAAATACTACATTTCAAATCTGTGGGAAAATAGATTGTTCTTATCGAATTGTAAATATAATTGGTAAATTATTTGGGATAAGAATTAAGATGGATCCTTACCTTATACCTAATACCAAAAAAAAAAAAAAAAAAAAAAAAAAACTCAGCTATACTGTAAAAAAAAAAAGGAAGCCATAACAAAGCTAAAAAAGAAGTGAATTTTGAGGAGCCTTGTTGGTTTGCGTGCTTGATTATTCTTAGAATTACGGATTGAAGAAGGCCTTTCAAATCATGATACAGAGGAGAAGATTGGGAGATTTAGATCTGTAGATGTGGATGAACAGATTTCTACAAGTAATATCTTACCAGATGCCTTATTTTATTTTATTTATTTTATTTTATTTTATTTTATTTATACAAAGTCTGTTCCTGTTGCCCCAGGCTGGAGTGCAGAGGCATGATCTTGGCTGACTGCAACCTCCACCTCCTGGGTTCAAGTGATTCTCATGTCTCAGCTACCCGAGTAGCTGGGATTACAGGCATGCACTACCATGCCCAGCTAATTGTATTTTTAGTAGAGAGGGGAGTTTTGCCATGTCTTGGCCAGGCTGGTCTTAAACTCCTGGCCTCAAGCAATCTGCCTGCCTCAGCCCCCCAAAGTGCTGGGATTACAGGTTAGAGCCACTGCACCTGGCCAGATGCCTCATTTTAAAAAGATAAAAGCAGATACATTTTGACTGACGGTGAATGAACCCTGGAACCCTCCCTGACTGCAGTGCCTGAAACATTTCCACAGAACGCCTGGGGTAGAATGGAATTCTATAAGATTATTAATTAAAATGCAGGTTCCTGGGCCCCATCCTTTACCCACTGAAGGAGAATCTCTGGAGCTAGGACTTTGAGTTTCAAGCAAACCTCAATAAATACTCAGGTATGCTACATTTCGAGGGTCACCATATGGCCCTAAGCAATAGGGAAAACAGTTTGAAAGGAGAACAGCGATCACCTAACAATAGATTCAGGAGCAACTGGGTCCTTAAACTTGTTCAAAGCCAGCCCAGAACCACCTCTAGGGAGAAGAGTCCCCAGAGGCTGGGAAGCAGATAGTTTGAGATGGAGAATTTAAGCATAACTTGAGAGCACGTCTTGGGAGAGTGAGCAATCAAAAGTGCAATGAGATGTTATTTAACACCTTGTATTCTAGAAGCTGAGAACAAACTGAAAGCGAAAAGCTTGTAATAAGTAATAAAAATTGCCCAAGGTGGCCAAAATATTAGAAACACTAAACCAAGTGGTAGAAGAGCTGACTTAAGTCAGTAACAAAAACATACTATTTGTGTTTAATCACCTTGTATACTTTACCAGATTTGCTTCAAATAAACTATTTTGCAAGTTCTCATCTACTTTTAAGTTTTTTATTTTTATAATCTCAAAAATATTATCCTTTCCTTGTAAAAATTTAAACCACACTGAAATATTTTCAGTAAAAATCCCCCATGCCCTCAGGGACAACTGTAATGAAGTTTGTGTATTTTTCTGATTATTTTTCTATGCACAAGTCATATATTTTATAATACTATTACAATTACATAAAAATAGCAACATATTATAAAACTGTTCTGTAACTTGATTTTTAACAATACTTTGTGGACATTTTTTCCTCTCACAATGTAGAAGTTATACCTCATTCTTTTAAATGGCCAAAGAATATTATGTATTTTGCAATTTTGGAGGAGAAGGTGAGGTTAACTTATGCCCACTCAATATTTTGATAAAACACATAAATGTGTGTTATTCCCAATTATATTCAAGTTTGCATATACTGCCTGTGTGCTTTGAATTAATAACAGATCACTAATTGTCTGGTGGAAACTTCCGGTAAAGTCAAAGCACCTAAGGGGAACTTGAAAGCTTTTGGGATGTTCAACCTTCCTTTGGATATTGGACACGTTTCTTAGTATCTCAGTGATTAGAGAGATAGTATTTTTTCATGGCAAAAATTGAGCAAATAAAACAATGAAAACAGAAAAACCAAACCACTCAAGATAAATGTTTTCAAAATTTCAGGGTATTTGATCCCACAGTGAATAATAACCACCATCAAACACTGATCATCTATTAAATGCCAGGTGCATACATGGGTCACTTCATTTAATCACCATGACAACCCATGGGAATATCCTTATTATCCCTAAAATGTGAAATCTCTTAGTTATGATACCTTTCCCATTTAACATTCCACATTCTTATAATACTAAAAGGCTCATGGACACTGCTTTCCCTCATAGGATTTCTGCATAGATAACAGAGGTCTGGAATTTACATCTAGATCTCTTCTGAAGTTGATAAATACATGCACAATCAAGAAAGACCATCTTCAACTAAATTAAGGGACAGCTAACTCTCAACACAGATTTTTTTTTTTTTTTTTTTTTTTTTTAAGACGGAGTCTCCCTCTGTCTCTTCCAGGCTGGAGTGCAGTGGTGGGATCTCAGTTCATTGCAGCCTCTGCCTCCCGGGTTCAAGTGATTCTCCTATCTCAGCCTCCCAGGTAGCTGGGACTAAAGGCATGCACCACCACGCCCAGCTAATTTTGTATTTTTAGTAGAGATGGGGTTTCACCATGTTAACCAGGCTGGTCTTGAACTCCTGACCTCAGGTGATCCACCCACCTCGCCTTCCCAAAGTGCTGGGATTACAGGCGTGAGCCACCGTGCCCGGCCTCAACACAGACTTTTTAATAAATAGTTTTCTCTATAGCACAATGGAATTTGATTTCTGAACAACAGGAAAGCCTTTCTGTAGGAACTGCGCACATCATTAGAAGTGCCCAACTTCCTCTTTTAAGCTAGTACTGCCCTTCATTTTGCCTGAGCTCAGGAAAATGACAGATAGGGGTCCCCTGCCAGGTGATCACTGACCCAAGGGCTGTTCATCCCTGGGGGAGCTGGCGTTTTCTGACCTAGCCTGGGACACAAAGATGAGCCAATTTTCCTCTCAAGATTTTGAACTTATTTGAACTTGGAAAGATTGAAGCTGTTAGCAGGAGGAGATGAAGCAAAATATTTATGAGTAATAGAGAGCCTAGAGGGACCAGTAGGGCCCTGAAAACCCCTGATAATATAGCACAATGTAGGAAAGGGCTTCAGCATAGAGGAGAAATTCAAAGTCTTAAAAGCAGCTTGGGACCTGGGCTGCTATCACTGTCCTGACCACCGGGCTGCAGGCTGAGGGGTCCTGGGCCCCAGCACAGTGACAACAGCAGGGAAGCCCTCACACTGACTTCTGTGAGGCACCGAAAGCAGGAGACACCAGTTCAAATGAGCACTAGGCAGAACTCTTGCTTTAGTCAGTATCACCCTACCCAACTATTTGAGCTCAGTAAGAGTCACAAATTAATATCTGTGTAGCATGAGGATGCTCATTACTTCCTAATCCGGATTTACATAGCTATTTGAACTAGCTACACATAACTATTTAATCAATGTGCATTGATACTTCTACTAAAGCTAGTCAGTAAATACAATTATAGGCTATAAAGTTTTAGCCAAAGGTCATCCACCTATAAATATTTTACATAAATGCCCAGTGATTCTTTGGCCAAGAAAATAGGGTCACCTAATGTACCTACAACATATGTACAATATAACCTCCCAGTTGAAATACATTTGAATGGCTATGAGGAGTTTTAGATTTCAAACACCACTTGAAAATATACCTACTAAAAGCAAGTGATGGGGTTCTACCTATCTTTGCTCTTACTCTTTC